AATCGAATTGGCCAAGTTGCTTTTACGTACTCCTGATTTACTACTTCTAGATGAGCCTACCAATCACTTGGATATAGAATCTATTATATGGTTGGAAAATTATTTAGTAGATTATTTCGGTACTGTCATTGTTATTTCGCATGATATTCAGTTTTTGGAAAATGTGTGCAACCGAATCGCTGAAGTAGAAATGGGAGGCATTATTGACTATAAACTGAAGTATAGTAAATTTCTAGAAGAAAAAGAAAAACAGAAAACCATACAAATCGCTGCCTACGAAAACCAACAAAGAGACATTGCACAAAAAGAGAAGACCATCAGTAGGTTTATGGCAAGTGCTACCAAAACCAAGATGGCTCAGAGTATGCAAAAGCTACTCGAAAAAGTGGAGAGAATAGAGATACCAGTGGAGTCTAGCAAAGCAATGACGATCCGATTTGCAGAAGTGCCAAGATCAGGAAGAGATGTGATAAGGGCTGTGGATGTATCAAAGTCATTTGACGATAAAACAGTTTTTAGCAACATAGATATCACTATAGAAAGAGGAGATAGGGTAGCATTTGTTGGTCAAAACGGTCAAGGTAAAACGACCATGGCAAAAATTATTGCTAAAATACTTCCACCTACTTCTGGCAAAATAGAAGAAGGGTCCAATATGCATCTTTCTTATTACGCTCAGAATCAGTCAGAACTGATAGACTTGAAAAGTACCGTGATGCAAGTCATGGAAGACAAAGCACCTGAAGAAATGCGGTCTAGAATCAGGAATGTATTAGGTTCGTTTTTGTTTTCAGGTGATGATGCTGAAAAAAAGGTATCTGTGCTTTCAGGAGGAGAAAGGGCAAGATTGGCTATGGCGTCATTAATCATGAAACCATGTAACTTTCTTATTTTGGATGAGCCTACCAACCACTTGGATATCTACTCAAAAGAAATACTAAAATCGGCGCTCAAGGATTATCAAGGCACACTATTGGTCATATCGCATGATAGAGAGTTTTTGGCTGGATTGACATCCAAAGTTGTAGAGTTCAAAGATGGAAAAACTAGAGAATTTTTAGGCGACATTGAGTACTTCTTGGGCAAAAAGAAACTGGACAATATGCGTGATGTAGAAATGCAAAAAACGGATGGTGTAAAAAGTGTTGATGTTTCTAATCCTACCAAGAAGATAGACTCTGAAGATGCTAAAAAAATCAAAAAACAGATACAAAATATTGAAAGGAGTATAGAAAAGCTTGAAGGTGAGATCGAATTGTTAGAAATCAAATTGGCTGACCCGAATTTCTATAGTGACCCTAAATTTATGGAGACCAACAAAAAGTACAAATCACTCAATGATGATTTGGCTGTAAAAATGCTAGAATGGGAAACCTTATCTTTTGAATTAGAAGGTATGTAGTTTTTGTACTAACTTCCGATATATCCAAGGTCACATTTCAACCGATAATCTTCTAGCAGCTGAAAAAAGTATGGTACGGCTAAATTGCTGTAAGCACATGTAGAGTTGAACAACAATACAATACCTACATTTTTTTCTTTGTCAAAAGCAATTTCAGTTCTGAAACCATTAACCAATCCACCGTGGTAAATTAAGTTGTTATTCTGTGTCTTGATAATTCTCCATCCCAATCCGTATGACGAAGATATCGTTTCTGTCCACTTGTTAAAATATTTGTCATCATCAGAAGTGCTGATATATGGCGTAAAAGCAAGCGAAAGTGCTGTAGGCGAGATGACATAAGGATAGTATCCCATGACTGCTCCAAGCCATTTTTTCATATCAACGATCGGCGCAAAAATACAATATTTTGGTGAGATCATTAACTGAAATCTTGTGATTCTTCATTTTTAGTCTTCCTTTTAAAATAGATTGACCATTATTTATCTTACAATTTTCATTGAAAAAATTATTTTTTTGAATTTAATCGCAAAATTATGTTAAAATCAATATTATTTTTATGAATAAAATCAACATTTTCTTCCACAATTATACAAAACAAATAGACAATGACAATAACAACAAGATTTAACACAAATACAACGCACTGATTTAGTGAATATTATACAAAAATACATTCGATTCATTATTCATATTACATTTATTCATATGTTATTTGATTACATTTTTGTATTTGCTCACCTTTCATAATGATTGCATCTTTGTATTATGAAAGGGAGTAATTAATACTTCTACTTCA